AAACCTGAACGCGATCTCCTCATGCAAGACTTCATGACGGTGGAAACCACTAACTTCCCACACGAAGGCTCTAATCACACTCCAGCACATCACTACTCAGAGTTTAAGTTCAAGACGTACGCGCCGATCGCATTTAGATACTTCAGAGATCTCTTCGGGATACAACCTGATGATTTCCTGGTAAATATCTTCTTTCTACAGGTTTATTCGTAAAATACTAACAATCACGCAGAACTGTATTAAGTGTGTGTTTGTTTTACAAGAAGCTCTACTGCTACTAAAGTGTGGGTGCACCTGCAATCGTTGACTATCTTGGAAGTTGATTTTGTGCTCGTTTATTTTTGTTTTTTCTCTCTTGTGACTAGAATTTGTTTTTGAACCGTTTCTGTTTAGTATCACTTTAACCATAATACTGATTACTTAATATAAAATTTTATAGTTTTTACATAAACGTTAATTGTTCTATTTAGAACTTCAAGCCAACGAATACAAAAATTATCTATAGCTTGTCTTTTTTGAAGGCGGAGTAAAATGACGTTTGGAGGGTTGCCAGTTTTCATAAAATTTTAAAATATGTATGTAGTTGTCGATAACTTTATCGATAGGTTGTGAAAGAAAATAAAATTTTGTCAAAAATTACTGAATTGTGAATGTTACGAAGGTTGTAATGATTACTAATTGCGTTATTACCTTCTTTATTCTTATTTTAACAGTTTGTCTACTAGTATCGAGATCAATTTTTATTTATTAATAATATACGTGTTAACAAGAGTAGCCAGATTTGATTATCTATATTGAATTAAAGTCAAAAACTTTATAAACTTGTGCTCAGTAATTGTATGAATAACGAGTCGAGTATGATTGAAATGAAACAAGTTCGACTATTAATTCCATGAGCGTGACCAATATTCAATCGATAGTCGATAGAAAGTTTATCGACAGCAATCTTTCATCACTTTTGCACAATGAACTGTCATTTTACTCCTTCAAAAAAGACATACTATAAACCATCACAAACTTATAAAGAAGGATGGCGAAAGCTGCCACACGTTAGTGTACTAATAGCCGTTCGTGGACTTTGCTAGTATAATTTTGCGTTTTAGTTTATGCCTAGTTATCAATATATTTTTGTATATTTTTAGAAGTCGGAAATAAAAAAATTGTAAAACACTGTATTTTAGAATAGATACAACAACACAACGCAGTTGATTCAGTTCGACCATAGACTAGGTAACGTTCTTGTACTCACGTTTCATTTTAAGCATGATTGAATGTTTACCTACCTGAAGTTGAAAGAAAGAAATTGGTTATCTTATAGTACACACATAAAACATTAGGGGCTATAAAATGCCCAATGAAATAATCAATTAAACTGTAATGACACAAAGCAAAAAATAAAGCATAATGTGACGAAAATATTTAGACAATATTTAAATGAGAGATAATGAAAGTTGCAAAGGAACGTTTTGACCTCACCTCTTGCCAATGTCAATGTCACATTGATGTCGAGAACAGTGTGACCATTTGTGGCAGATTTCTCCCATTTGGGCAGATTTAATTTTTATTCATTTTCATTGCTGCAGAACATGATAAATTATATTTAAATGTGGCAGAGTTTGGCGGATTTGGGAATATTCGGAAAGTTCTTTATTATTTTTGGGAAAAAACTGAATACTTGTTGTTTTCTGCTACGAACAAACATCTGAAACGAAATACAGGACAATATAATAAACATCAACTTTGTCAACTTTATAACCCTAGCTTCTACAGGCTATACTCAATTAGCTTTTTTGATGCTTTTAATCACAAGTATTAATAGGTCTCCTAATGCACATCGTCAAAAACACTGGATCACAAAATACACGGGATGTCGCCATCCTTCTTTTAAATCGATTCTTGAGAATTTTACATCCCTAGTTACGTTGCGGTGACAGATGTCAAAACGGGCCTATTACATTGTGACAAACATAAATAAAGATTCTTTTTGTTGTCATCATTTTTTCAGGTCCTCTGACTGAATGCTAGCCCCTTTGCTTAACATTGAAGTAATGTCTTTTCCAGATGTCAATGTGCAGTGCTCCTCTCCGAGAGCTAAGCAACCCGGGCGCGTCAGGAAGCATCTTCTATCTGACTAACGACGACGAATTCATTATCAAGACTGTGCAGCATAAAGAAGGAGAATTTTTGCAAAAGTTGCTGCCAGGATACTATTTGAACCTAGATCAGGTGATCAATTCGGCTGTACTTTTTTGTCGGGAAGAGGGTACCTCAGCATTCCATTTCATCCCATTTAAATTTGAAGAAAATACTCATTTAGATTTCATTAAAACTTGGCAAATACATGTAATTCCACGAACGTTTGTGGGCAGTTTTTTTATATATAAAAGATATTATTATTTTATTATTATTATTGTATTTATTTTAAACTTGTTTTAATTTATTTATTATTATTATTATTATTTTATTATTATTTTATTATTTTTATTATTATTTTATCGTCGAGTTGCGGATACCAGCCCGTTGCACCAAGTACCAAGTATTATTATTTTAATATTATCATAGCTCCATTTACATTTGTTTTGCGTGTATAGTATTAGATTAAGTTTAATGATAATAAATTGTCCTAAGGACATATTTAGGATTTGTCGAATGAAGAACTTTTAGGTTCTTAGGATTGTTAGACTGGTCAGCTGGTCAGCAACTGCGCACGTAATAGAACGGGGCCTGAAGGGGTTCGCAGGAGACAGGGCAGCTCGATCCATATGACGCGGAGTTCGGCGCGGACATAAATTTATCTTATCTTATACGTCCCACTGCTGGGTACGGGTGTCCTCTCATGCGAGGATTTAGGCCATAGTTTCCCAAAGGGGCCCCTACTGAAATGGGCGCTGAAGAGTCCTAGGGGGCGGTTGGGACCTCGGAAGCAATTGAGGGGCTTTGATGCTCTCCAAGTGCTGCTTCCGCTTTGAGAAAAAAAACCTGATTCATCTATTGACACTACATTACAAAAAAATTCTTTTTCCTTGTGATTGTTTGTGTTAATGTAAAAAATACGGTTCCCTATCAATAGTCCGAAATGACATTTTCCAGAAGTAACGTTTGCTCGAAATTTCATAACCTCGAAAGTAATTTTGAGAGGAAAATATTTTTTTCTTTTAAACCTAACATAACCGAACCTAATAGTGTCTTTGCGATAAACATCCAACATATCCTGAAAGAACAACGGTTTCGTTATAATTCGGTTTACGGTGTACTTGATACTTGGTACTTGATGCAACGGGCTGGTATCCGCAACTCGACGACAAAGCGCCTATTTCGCGTGTGGGGTAATGAAAATTCCTTCGAGTATATAACCAAAAATAGAGGCGAAATGTCATTTAATTTGTACGAAAACTATTCTGCCATATCATTACTGTGACAACTGCGCTCCGATTGGCTAGCCCGAGTTCGAAACAATTGACGGGAGTCGTCAATGGGTGTCGTCAACTGTTTCACTTCAAATCGACCAGTTAACTTGAGCTTTGCTATAATGGACGAAAATTGCAAAATTACATATTTAATATTTAATTACCGATGAAATGTGACTCCGTTTGTTTTGTAATTAGATGTTTTGCTGTTTTTCCCACACCACCGAATACAACAGCACGGTATTGTTAGAGATATTATCTTTATTACAATAAATACAGAATATTTTTTAGAATATACGGAGACGTACACGACACACAGGTCAGTAGTTGGCCTGTCTATATTTCAGTGCAAACGAGAGTTAATATTTATAAGAGCTGTATCGCTAATGTGCTACCAGGAATATATGGCCCTTAGCTCGTCTCTATTTCTGGTTATATACTCGATGGAAAATTCGAACAAACGTTATTTCGGGAAAAGAAAAATTCGAGTTTGTGATAGGGTTACCAAGAAATACGTGTTTTGAATTATTTTTTGTGGTTGGAATTTTTTTACCTTGCCTAAGTGGGCGGTGATCCATAAAGTTTGGGAACCTATGGTTTAGGCCATAGTTCGCCACGTTGGCCCAATGCGGGTTGTGGATCATCACATGCTTTCCAAGGGTTGTGAAACTTTTTTTGTTCAACTTGCAGGTTTTACACGATGTTTTCATTCACCGAAAAGCTCATGAAGGATTTCGAATTAAATTTTCGCAATTATTATGTTGACTTAAAACTTTTTCTTACCGGCTCGGCTTAATGTAATTCCGTGTCTAGTGTGGTGACTCCTTTAACGAGAATTTGTTATTTATTTATTTATTTATTCATTCTATTTCTTTTCTACAGAACCCCCGCACATTATTACCTAAGTTTTTTGGTCTGTACTGCTACCAGTGCAACAGCAAAAACGTACGATTAGTCGCTATGAACAATATCCTACCGTCTTCCGTCAAGCTACATCAGAAATATGATCTCAAAGGATCAACTTATAAGCGGAAGGTGAGTTTATTTAAATATCTGTGGCCTTACCATGAACTCTTATTACAGTTAAATATAATAATAATAATAGCAACGTACACACTCAACATAGCCCTGCACTAGGGAAACCCTGTGTCGCGGGTGCCGTGGACATACACATAGACAACCACAAATTACTCCCAAACTCCCCAAAGCCCGGGAATCGAACCTGGGACCTCTACGTGGAGTCCGGCATGGTAACCGTTTGGCCAAGGAGGCAGAAGTATAGGTTCGTAACGACAAAAAAGCGGGATGGTGATATACACTTCATGTAGCGCTGTCTCTAAACTGAATCGTAATAAGAGTTAATGGTAAGGCCCCAGTTGGCGTTTGAAATTATTTTATAAAAGGAACAAAGTGACATTCAAGCAATCAGATAGCTCCGACTTCATGATTGGCTAGTTTCTTAATGTTCTCAGTTTTTTTTTTTAAAGAACGAATGTTGTAATATTGCGGCATTTATTCCAATCAACGCTTTGCGCGGTAGACGCTTGATGAGGAGGTCACTTATTCGAATCCCGATAGGACCAATTTGGGAACTTTTCTAAATCGGTTCTGGTCTGAGTGTTCTAGATAATGCATGAATTCCTTTTGACGACCTCCGTGGTCGAATGTAGCCATCTCTGAAGTCAATATGGAAAGTAACTTTTCTATATTGTCTCGGGTCTGGGTGTTTGTGGTAACGTCGTTGTTTCAGATTTCCATAAAACAAGGTTGTTTACTTACTTTGGGATCAGAACAACGTGTTGTCTAAATATGTTACCTATCTAATATCATACTTAAAAAAAGTGTATACCCGGTTAATTGTAGAATAGTTACAACTTCTCGGGACTGTTATATCACTAACATCATGAACAACAACTGTTATAATAGTGTCCTGCGATGTTGTTAATATTTTACAAATAACCCTGTATATTTGTAAGTTATTAACCGACTTCAAAAAAAGGAGGAGGTTCGCAATTCGACTGCATGTTGTTTTTTTTCTTTTTTTGTGTGTATGTTACGCGGTAACTCCGTTTCTGAACCGATTTTGATGATTCTTTTTTGTTGGACATCTCGGAAGTGGTCCCATTTAAATTTGAAGAAAATATTCCACCTATAAGAGTGGCAAATTAGGGGATGAATGACTTTTGTGATCCGTTTTTTTTATTAATAATTATTTTAATAACGCCATTTCTCTCCCACACCTATTGCTATTGCGCACTTGCTAGTTCGCGTGACAATAGCATAGAAAAAAGCATTAATTTCTCAGCAACAGCAAGTTAGCTGTTTGTTCAATAATGACTTATATATTAGTAGATAGGAATTGGCGGTTCTGGATCACGCTACAGTGCGAATGTGAACCTTATGTATATGTGTAAGGGTGGAATGGTTTGGCGGCGTTTAAAGAGGCTTTATGAAGGAGTTATGTAGTTTTGATTCTGAGCGATTGTTGTACGTGGTGTTGAGTCATGGTTTGAGTGGGGCTTATGATGGTTAGTATAGGGTTGGTGTTTGTTTGGGCGGTGTTTTGAGGTGAGTTCTGACGTTTTGGTGGTGGTGCAGGGGTTGGACCATAAGGTCCACATTCTCACTGTACGTGTGGTCCAAAACCGCCAATACCTATCTACTTATATTGCTTAAGAAAAATACATTATCAAATGAAAATTACATTATCTGTTATTGTACCAATGTAGTATTGAATTGTCTATTCCCAGGCGAACAAATCAGAACGTCAAAAAAGCTCACCGACATACAAAGATCTGGACTTCATGGAGCATCATACGGAAGGCATATTCCTCGAAGCTGATACGTATGGAGCTCTTATAAAGACAATGCAGAGGGATTGTAGAGTGCTGGAGAGTTTCAAGGTCAGTATTAACATAGTATAATGTGATCGGAATAGGTAGAGCTTTTTTACCTAAACTTCGAGGAACATAGACAGAAAATGGAGACTGCCTTACGACGATATTTTTTAGGTCCTGGATCTTTTCGGGATTCGAGAAATCACTTAAGTACATTAAAAATTGACGTTATTTGGGATAGGCAGGTGGGCTATATTTATCTTAACTTAGGAATATTTAGGAAAATTCCGATATTTTTTTATCGGAATTTTCCTAAATATTCCAAAAAATTTGATGTTGCAACAACTCATCGCAAAGTTAAGATAAATATAGTCTACCTACATATCCCAAATAACGTCACTTTTTAACGTACTTAATAGATATCCCCAATCCCGAAAAGATCCAGGACCTAAAAAATATTGTCGTAAAGAAGGCTCCACTTTCCGACTCTGTTCATCGAAAAAACTCTACCTATTCCACTGAAATAAGACATATCGTAGTGTTGCAACGGAAGTGTCATAACGAATACAGATGTTGAAAGTAAATTTTAGCAGAAACGGAAGCGGAAGTGTAAATACCATAGTCGAGGCAAGATAGCATACTCATTTTGACATATTTTGAGTAGTAACACATCCACTTTAATTAGTATCATTAATACTAGTATGGTACAAGTTACTAATATAGTATAGGAATTTAGTAGAATTCATACCCGCCTGAGATCACAAGTAACTGAAACGACAACACGCATACATGGCTATGGCAGAGCTATCGCACTCGTACATATTGAAGTGCAACATGCAGTGTTATCAAATCAAATTTTTACTTTACCCATACATGTTTTGAGAATTTTCTAGTTACTTAAATAATTCGTTAATATTTTTTTCGGCAAAATTAACATTTAGTTATAAATAACACAAGTAAGTAATTTTGTTTTGATATTATGCTTTTATTCATGATTTTTATCGTATACATTTTCATTAATGGCAACACTTTTACTTAATTTCTGGAGATACTTTTACCATACTACATAATTGCTTTAATCACATTATAGTACTATCCTGTTACTTGCCGGACATCACCAGGTTTAAGAAAAAAAATAACCGTTTATATGACGTGTCATAGATGCAAACTATCACAACTTTAATGCAGATAAAAATGGAAGTAAATTAATTTGCTACACCGCGAAACTTTGTATACTACTGTAGACTGCCCATGTAACCTTACACACTGTAAAATTATTGACTTTAGTGTGTATTGTATACTTGCATAATAAAAAAAAAAAACAAAAAAAAGAACCCAGTGAAAGTTAAATCTGCTGCTAAAGTTTTAGGCCGAGCGTCGAGCAGTCAACAATCCCTGAGGATGCCTCATGGAGAGGCGAAACACGTGTCGGGTATATTTTTGGTGGTGGTTTGTGACTGTAGTTGCGCTTGTGTTATTTATCTTATTAATTTTATGCGAAGGGAGGGTGGGATAATAAACTGCATGAAAAAATATTCAACACAAGCGCAGTTATTATGCACGATTTAACCTTCACTGGGTTCGTGGAGTAGCAAATTAATTTACTTCCATTTTTATTAACTTGGACTTCCGCAAAGTAACGCCTGAATCTATTAATTATTTAATTTGTAGTTAAATACTATATATTTAACCGAAATAAACACGCTGTTAGTGTTCAAAGTGGAGATAAATCATATTTTCCGTTTCCTATTTGGACAATTATTATTAAGTTACGTTCTATCGCTGTTCATAGCTGTCAAAAAGAGGATGCTATCTTGGCTCGACTATAATAAACGGTTACCGTGCTAAACTGCTACGCATAGGTCCCGGGCTGAGAGAAATATTTGTATGGCCTACATTTATTTCTCTCGTGAGTTGTAATTTATGGTTATCTAGGTGTGTGTCCATGGCACCGGCGATATAGGGTTTCCCTAGTGCTGGCCTATGTTGTGTCTGTGCGTTAAAAAAGTTCCGAACGGGGCTTGTGTTTGGTTTGGACACAAAACAAACTTAAGTAAGACCCACGCACCCCGCCGCCAAACTATACGCGCACACTCTTGATCCATCGCGAACGTTATAAACTTCCTTTATAAAAGTTGCGGAAAGCAGAAACGGAAACAGACGTGAAAAATGTGTGCGGAACTTCCGCAGTTGCAGAAGTCTGTTACGTCACTAACATGTAATGCAAGTCCCGCCTGTTCGGCGTATCACTGCTATAATACTTCGCTCAGAGTGCATTATTATTTTAGTTTTTGGCGAGATAATAAGAGCCTATGCACACAGCGTATTTTATACGCGACGTATCCCATTTACGCGCCATAAACGCGGAGGGAAGACAATTTTGGTTTTACACGTGCTTCATGTTTTTTGTAAAAGAAGTTGATTAAAATAAAAAGAAATTACAAGCCGTGTTTTACGAATTTTATTACGACGAAGAACATCCCACATCCAGTGGGTTTGGATGGGACAGTCCAAAACTCTTTCCTACAATGGGCCAAGATGCTGTTGGAGCCCCAAAATAACGGCGTGAAAGCGATCAGTGCGCACACATTTATGTTTGGTTCCCATTTAAAGTCTATGAACAAGAACTATGACATTTTTCAAATCTTAAATTTGTCCCTCCACAGATAATGGACTATTCTCTCCTAGTAGGCATCCACAACCTAGATGAAGCTCAACGCGAGAAAAGCGAAGCGCGCAAACGCACAGAGTCCGGACAAAGTGATGACGATGAAGCGGGGGAACCCAAGAGGAGTGGACTTAACAGAACCAGGTTTGTTCATGACTATTACATGACAATACAAATATAAACAAATGGAAAGACTGGGTTGGAGTTGATGTTGTTTCTGTAACGCCTCGATTCAAACTTAATTTCGTTACGTACAAAATATACTCATAGGAAATGAAACTATTTTTCGACTCCAATTTTGTTTTTTGAAACAAACACTCGGACGGAAACTATTAGGGCGCGGTTATTTGCACAGGCAGGTTTCCGTACATTTAATGATGGGTGGTTTCAATCTGTTTTATCGGAGTCAACATGTAATGCCGCGAAAATTTTGTATACATGTTTGGTTAGGTAGTATTTTGATATATCAATCGTTAATTTCTAATATTAATGCAAACCACCCTATTTTATTTCTATTTTATAGTTACAAATATGTTTTTACAAAATATTTTATTGTAACAATATTATTTGGTTTTCATGTTTAATTAAATTTATTATTGCTTAATAATGAAAATGTACTAATAAATTAAAATTTTTCTCCATCTATCTATCTGCTTGGGATTTTTCAACAGAGGAAATACTGGATCCCAAACTGGTGGTACGGAGGAACCCTGCTGAAATATTTCAAAGGGAAACATAAATTATTGTGATCTTTTTTTACGTTTAACTGATTGAGAGTTACAGAATCAACATTGAGAATTACCGAATCAAAATATAGAGTCACAGAATCATGGAGCATCGACACTATAGTAACTTTTTTTAACTGCTAAGATTATAATTGCAATAACTTTAAAAATATTGGCAAAGAAGACTCATTTTGTTACTCGGTTAAAGTGTTAAACTAATAGATTACCGGGATTATTCACAAAGTGTAACAAAAAGGTTGATAAATTGGCAGCTAATGATTCTAACATATTATATTCATAATACCAAATGACTAAAAGAAAATATATGTGTGGTTTGGTATAAGAAAGTGCCTAAGTCCATATTACTTACGCATTTGTTGTACCAAGCCAGATATATTCTGAAAATGTTTAGATGAGTTTATGTAGTGGTAATAGAATAAAGTCGTCTTAACCTTATTCAACCTTCTTTGAAAAAGAAACGAAATAAAACAAAAAGCATTTTATCACGACGAAACAGAGACAGCTAGAAATTTGAACATTGTAACAGTTTCTACTGGTATTTTGCTGAATGTGTATGTAATATATATTTTTATTATGATTGCTGCAAAATATGTTCGAACCATTTTATTACTGTTGTAAACAACTTTTAAAATCATAAAATTTAATTTTATTATTTCTTCATATTCCAATTGTGAAATTGGCAACACTTTTTATTTATACATGGTGGTGGGTTATTGTTATTTTTTTTCCCAAAAATTTCAGATCAGATCAGGGCAACGAGGATTTCGGGACGCAAGTGAAAAGGACCCAGTATGGTCATATTTATATATACCTATCTCACTCTAATACTGCGTACAGTGTGATGTTGTCCCTTTTTAACATAGTATTGTGTTCTATTGACCCTTTTCTAACGTGAACTTCTTTATTTGGACAGTTTCAAGAGTAATTGGTCAATTTCAATATAAAAAAAAATGTTATTTTATACTACATTGTAGTATAAAAGATAATGCTGCCGAAATGTGAAACCACATAATAAAACCACATAGAATATTTTATAGCTATGGCAAGAAAATCAGGATCTTTCTGCAGGTAAAACTCAACATTAAAAATAGTTATAAACTCAATTAGAGTTTACCAGCACTGCTATGTAATTTAGACGTTTTTTGTGAAAAATGTCACTTATGTGGTTTTCAAACAGTTTGATATAACGTCAATATGTATTTTTGGCATATAGGATCTGGTGCATACGGAACGAGGGCGTACGGCACGGACCCATAAAACTGACTACATTTCAGTAGCCGTTTTTGTCTTCACCGTGTACGCCTGCTCTAACATTTAAAAAAAAGAAATCTGCCATGAATTGATACTTGTCTTTTTGTGTATAATTACAAAAACGATCAATTGTACTTTTCAAACTGTCTACTATAAATGTCTCTTTCTAACCCACGTGTTGTCTAACTTTAGAGTTGTGTCTTTACAACTAACCAAAATGCCTGAATTATACACAGAACGTTGAAAAAACTCGAAACGTACATTATTTTATATCATTTATTACAACATATTACTATAAATTTTCATATCTGTCATGGTTCCCTAGAAAGATGATATAGGGTTATTATTTATTCATAATTATAGTCTGTCTTTTTTGAAGACGCAGTAAAATGACATTTGTAGTTTGCCAGGTTTTCTAAAATTTTAAATAGTTATGTAGTTTTTGACGATAATTTTATCGATAGATTATGGAAGAAGATAAAATTTTGCCAAAAATTAATTTTACGACGTTCTAATTATTATTTAATGATTACTACTTGCGTTATTGCCGTCTTTATTCTTATTTTGACAGTTCGTGTACTAAAATCGGATTTCATTACCTATATAGAATTAAAATGAAAATCTTTAAAATGTCTTCTTGTATTTTTCATAAACATAGTTCTAAATACAGTGTATGTATGTATCAACTTACAAAAATTGACAATTCAAATGAACTTGTGCTCAGTAATTGGATGAATAACGAGTCGAGGATGATTCAAATGAAACAAGTTCGACTATTTATTCCATAGAATCGATAGAATATTTATCGACAGCAATCACTAGCTGCTCGCAAGCTGGTAACACTTTTACGCAATGAACAGTCATTTTACTCCGTCTTCAAAAAAGACAGACATTAATACAGTATAACAACCGATAACAAGCTACAAATAATATTATTATATCTAATAGTTTCTTCTCAATTAAGTACAAAATTCAATTTGTGACATTTGACGTAATGAGGTTAACATATTTTGCAAACGCTTACAACTTCTGGCATCTTGTGTATTGATGTCATGTGTTTTTGACGTTCTACGTATAATCCAACAATGATAATGTTAGTTATTTAGTAAGTAAAGCATGATTTTGTCTTTATTGTTAACAAATTACAAGATTTAATTAAAACTACACTAAATATTGTTTGGAACCGGTTTTGAAAAACCCAGTTAATTTTGACTATGAGCTAATATAATAAGGCTTGGTTCATGACATCTAATTCCCCGAATATCTAACTACGCGAATGTCCAATACTTTATTTTATATTTTATCATTCAATGATTCACCTCTTAATTGAACGAAAGAAAAAAAAAGCGACATTGCAACTGGCAATATAAATTTTTTTTAGTATTAAAACTTTAACATCACGTAGGAATAAATAAAAAATAAATTTACATATACCGTGGTATCTATGTGAATATACTTATATTCCAAAAGCCCACCACTTTTGAGGTCGTGGCACTATTTTTATCTTACGTGTTTCTGCCGCCAAGCATTATTGTGCGGCGGTTAGGAAGGGTAAGGGTGCTGGCGAAAGTACAGCCACACGGGACTTGTCAACTTATATTCTCAGGGCGCAGTGCCCGTAAAATGGCGATCGATCCAATTATGACACCGCCATGATTTATACCGTTTTCGACGTATCGTGTAATTCATAATTCATTTATTTGTGAAAAAGGTTATTTGGAAGTTGACATGTACAAAATAAGTAGAGTTTCACTGTGTTCGGCAAAACATGCATACAAATATTGCAAGTGTTATTTTTTCTAATATCACATGAGCATGCACACATGGATTTACTAAGTCAGTCAGCAATTTAGGCGCATTGATAGTTATATGAGTCAATTTCAATTACCATATTTTTAATATAATGAAATGTCAAAATAATAAAACTATTAATGTCAAAAACGAAATATAAATATCAAAAATCTGACAATGAAGTTAGGGATTTATCATTTAAAAAGCAAGCATTGCAAATATAATAAGTGTAGCAAATATTCAAAACGTAAGTGTTCAAAGTGTGTTATTGTAGGTCGGCGCGATTTTCCACGAATTTCTAACGTTTTTAAACTCGTCTGAAACATTTCTAGGAAATAAACTATTTACTCGTTCATAAAATTCGTAACCTAAGACGTCAAGAAGCATATCTTTAATGTAATGTTCATGATTTTCCGTAGATTTGATGACGTCACTAAATCTATTTAAAAAATCGTCTTCAGCAGTGTATGTAGCTCTAAGTAAAAGATCTGTGAAATCCTTCTTGTCTACTGTTTTATTCGCTATTTTAAGAAAATCATTAGTAAACGCTTCAATTTTGTCGCCGATATTCATCGCAGTTAAATTATCAATTAAATAGCTACGAACGCTTTTTATAGTGTGGTTAATCCTTCCAGTATCTATAGTTGGTTTTTGTTTTCTTCTTGTTATAAAATTCCAGAATTTCTTGAATTTCTCTTTAATTTTATTAAGAATTCGTCTCAAAAAGTGTTTTCGCTTCTGTGGTTTAATTTTATTTTCACTATGTATATCCCATTCGGATGGTATGAAAACTTGTACGTGTTCGTATTTCCTCCTGTACGCAATACAAGGGCCGTTGCGACGTTTTTTCGCTTTTATACAGTTCATAATGCATTCATTGACGTAAGTTCTGTTGTTGTAACTGCACACGGGTATGTAAATTCTCGGACAACGGCATTTATCCCCTTTGCCCATCTGCTTCAGATCAATGAAACGACCAACAATGCTTTCGGGCAAATAGAATGGTAAGGCGACACCATATCGTTTTTGCATATAGTCGAAATTGTTGTATCTTGCCGCTTTAGTTGTCCTTTCGGGCGATAGTATCATTGATACAGGGTCTCTGTCATCGCCATCAGTATCTTTGACACGCTTTCGTGCTTCCCTTGACTTGGTAGAATCACTTTGTTCGGTTGAAATGGCTGAGGTGTCATTTGTCCCAAGAGGATCTGTTCTCAGAGCTTTTTTCTTTTGTCTACTTGAACAATCGGTGCTAGAACTGCTGCTGCTTTTACAACTTGTATAGTTGTTAAGTTGGTGTGTTACGTTTGTTGCCCCTTTTAATCCTTTAACTTTTGTTGCTCTTTTAAACCTGCTTTGTTTAATTTTTAGTGCTCTTTTAAAACCTTTCTGTTGTTTTATGTTCGTTGCAATTTTAAAAGAGCTGAGTATGTTTGTTACCTTATTATTGTTCCACTTGCTTGGCGTTGTAGTGCTTATAAGTTGAACATTGTTCTTATTATTTACTTTGCTTTGTAATAATTCTTTATCGAAGTCAGCAGCATCTTTAGCTTTCACGTATAAAAAAATAGCTAAAACAAAATACAACAATGGGTGTCCGGATACAAGGCTGTTCTCCACTACGATTGACCATGTATAAGGAATAATAATTTGCGTTATTGTAAGTGGATATCCACATTTGAACATCTTTGCTGTTTAAGGGAACAAGTTCGTCCAGGGAAGTACTATCCAACAACTATTTCTGCACATGGGACTTGTCAAATTATGTTTCAGGGTGACGGGCGCAGTGGCAATGCCCCACAGATCGTTGCGATTTAAAGCTCTGAGTGGCACATGCAATTGTTATGGACAGGCGTGTAGCTTATCATCAGGCGCACGACGTGTTCGTCCCGTCACTTGAAATTATAAAAAAAAATTAAAAAAGCGCCCAGTTCCACGACGCGAAAATTTTCGTGCGACAGCCGCTCGTTCACGTACATTAATGGCATATCTGAATTCTATTTGCTAGGCAACAACATTTAAATTACTCCAAATAATATAACCGCTTGATCGCCGCGTAGACCAAAGACAAGCCATTCTCGCCCGCGCGACCGGGACTTAAATTCTAAATAAATAGAGCATATTTTGCTATAACAGCTCAGTCTCTAAACACGAACACGTGGTCACCGCGAGTGCCCGCGCTGGGCGCGCGAAACTACAGCCACGTGGGCCTTGTCAACTTTATCACTCAAGGTGACGGTTGCAGTGGCAGTGTCCCTCATATAGCTGCGATTTAAAGCTTTGAATGGCATTTTTTCAAAAACTAGCTTGATAACTGACTACGAAGTGAACCATATACCTAAACGACTTAGGTCACAGATCATATATCTAAATAGACTGGCTGACACTTTGATTAGCTATGGTTTAAGTATATTTGGTCGTACTTATAAAACCTCCAGAAAAAATCCAGGATATTAAAAAAAATCAGTTCACATTAACAAAATTCTTGGTAGATAAAAACACCAGGAAAAAATACAAAAACAATGTGTAACAAGCGGTATATGAACACTTTGCAGTTAAAGTTACTATTTATTTTTACTTACAGAAAATAAAACACAGTTTTGTTAGAATTTTTTTGTGCGATTTCATTGTTATTTTCATGTATTTATTGTTGTTCAATATTACCCACATACATATATTACGTTTTGTAAATATTCTATAACAATGGAATTATTATCGGAAGTGTTCACAAGGTTACATTTTTCAATAGTTATAAATTTTTATTGCTTATACAAGGTGTAACAGAAAGGTGTTCTAAATGTTCAGTTAATGGTATTAATTAAATTAAAGGAAACAATACAGACTATAATTATTAGTACTTACATAGAATATAAATTTAGATGGGTAGTACAGACAGTTTGTAGGAGTCCTCAGACAGGTATACAAAGTTATTTTTAGTTACATAGTTACTTTTAATAGCAGTAGATCCCCTTATGAAAGAGTTCGCCCAGGGAAGTACTGTCACCTTACCTATTTCAGCCGCCATGCGAGCGTTACTGCGTTCCGGTTTGGAAAAGTAAGGGTGCTGGTGAAATTACAGGCACAAGGTCACCTTAAGACATAAGTTGACAAGTCTCATGTGCCTGTAATTTCACCAGCACCGTTACCCTTCAATGCTCACATTACTGCTTGGCGGTAGAAATAGGTATGGTGGCAGTAATGTCGCATAGTTCAGTATTAAATTTTTATGTTGTGACGTCACCAATTTACTTTAAAATTGTAAGAGTGTAAGAAGTTGGTCTTAGTACTAGTTTAACTCTAGCATACAGGTGTTAAAAAAATATCATGAGGTTGCTTTACTTGTACTGATTGTAACTTTCTCCAATGAAATTTTATCCATTACAAAACCATAAGCAAATAATAACGAAATCAAAAGATGCAGCATGCCTCGTCGTTACGCGTACATTCTACAAGTACTTGTTCATATAGTACATATGAAAATTATTCACAGCCTACTACCACAGCCAGAACAAACAACTCACGGAAACCCACTTTAACCAATCTGCTTACGGATCAATATATCTGTCTGCTTACAGATCAGTAACCCTAACTTACAGATCTAAAAACTTACGTATTAATAATCTATTTACAGATCAATAAATCTTACATGTCAATTAACCTATCTACTTACAGATTATAATTCGAACTACATACAGATCAATAACTTAACTAATTACAGATTCAAATACCTATCCACTTATTGTTCAATAAACCCGTGTGCTTACCGATCACTTAACTTTTTTGCTAACACATAATTAAATCTGTCTAATTAAAAGTCAATAGAACTATCTAGTTACAGATACATATCTGATTACAGATCAATAAACCGCCAAAGACTAGTGGCGCACTCTACGGCGATGGAGAGCATACAAGCGGAGAGCGAACCTATAGACGAAGAGGAAGACGTCCCGTAAGTAAATTTTTTGTGTTTCAGTGTGCTCAACATTCACAGATGACTAGAAAAAGCTTTTGTTATTACTTGATTTTAATAGTGTTAATTTTTATGGCAGTGAAAGTAAGTAAGCAAATTACACTTGAAATCGTCATTCTGATTAAATTCTATTGCTCCTTCGTAAGGAAGATTCCCTTGAGAAGAATGAGGAAGAAACTCTAGAGGTTGCTCTTTGTAAACATACATTTGAATACATTTATCATTACAATATTTAATTTAAACATCGTGGATCGAGAATACTTGAAAGAGCTAAAAGGGGTACTATCAAGGATTTTTGTCATCCAAGTATGCCCTTTAGTATAAAGTTTTTGTTTCACAATAGTTTTAAACCTCAATTTGAATATCAATCGGAATCTTATTATAGAAGCGTATTATACATTGACCCTTAAATTAATTTGAGACTGCAGACGACTGTCAAGAACAGCTAGTTTATTTTTATTCCTCATATTAATGTTATGTCTGCCACTATTTTTCATAAACAAATTATTAATATTTTTCTTAACATAAATAACATTTTCATAAATGTACTGTTTGCCAAATATATCAAATACATATAGGCATCATTATTGCTGGTATACCAAGATGCTTGCGAAAGATTGGTGGTATAACAACTGACTCGTGTGCTCGTAGGCCGGGCGGAATTCCAGCGCGGAACGCGCGCGGCGAGCGCCTACTCTTGTTTCTGGGTATCATAGACATCCTGCAGTCCTACCGCCTACGCAAGAAGCTAGAACACACATGGAAAAGCATGATCCACGACGGGGTGAGTGTAGTGAGAACGTAAAGGCTAAACCACACTTGGACACGCGGAACAAATTTCAAGTTTAACTTTTATTTAAAAGAATTAACAAAGTACCAATTTAACTGTAGACGGTCTAGTACTACGGAATACAAAATGTTTAAATTTAAAATATCAGATAGGTCCTGGCAGTCGTTCCCACAAGCACTCCACTCCCTGAAACGAATCGATGGTATCGAAGTTTCTCTCATATAATCGTAATTCGGCCCAGGTAGTCATCAGTTTTACCAGAATTTAGATAAAATGGTTCAATGCCATCTAGCGGATTTTAGGGGGTACTATATGAAGGGCAAGTTGCTTGGATACGTCTTATGATATAAAACCGGTATGTTACTTCCTATTTTGTATTATTATTATATCAGTTATCTATTTCAGATTCTCGCCCGTCTCACGGCCTAAAAATTTAAAAATTCTCACCAAATGAACTGATGGCAGCGAAGTGAATCGAGGACTATGGATGAGTAGTAAAAGTGGTTTTTTTTAATATTTCCAGGACACCGTGTCAGTTCATAGGCCAAGTTTCTACGCGCAGAGGTTTCTCGATTTCATGGCGAAGACCGTATTCAAGAAGATACCTTCGTGTGAGTATTTCTCTGTTGTTTACAGCTTTTATTATTTTATGGTTAGGTATTTTCCACTCAATATTTCAAAAGACGTAGCAGGTATACAAATCTCTTCTAGATGTCTCTATTTCTATTTAAAATTTATTTTTTTATAATCATGGACAATCCAAATCATTTAAGCTAGAATCCTTTAAAATTGATAATCAAATTGGTAGTAACTTGAAAATATGTCCACTAAAAAGTAGAATTGTGTTAGAGTCAAACGCAACTTATCAATTATCAGCACTTATCGGCATTGAACTTTTACAAGAGCCGTGTTTTATACAGGAAATTATTAAAACAGCGATGGCTGAAAACTTAAATATTTCTCTTATAAATCCGCATTCATTTGTGTTGATACGTGCCGATACTTGAGGTGTGCAATGACCCTTAATCTTTAGTAAACAAACGCTATTCGTAATAATCAGTTGTTGTCCATTCTTAACCCCTACTAGGATTACGTGTAAGTTTCTGACGTAATTTTGAAATCTTTTAAAGTTCAATTTAAAAAAAAATAACGAGATGCATTTCAAACTTACGTTCTATTGTAATTTGCTAACCTCATGTTGTAACTGTGATAACTTTTGCAGTGTTCATTCGTTCAATTCACAATCCATACACAATATACTAGATTGGCTCCCCCATTATCTGTGGGACGAAAACGCTATAAAAACCTAAAGGTTTTATAGTTTATGGTATACTAATCATCAAAAGACAAACCTAATAAGTGACTAGTCACACGAGCTGTATGCCGACTGCATCGTAATTGCAAAACAAACAGGTGTGCAGTCACGTCGACTGTGTAACAAACTTTTATCAAACTGCATTCCAAATCGATGCGTTACTTTCTCAAACTCGTAACTTAAAAAGAGTGATTATTCAGGAGAGCGCAAAACTTTTTTCTATATTCTATTTATTTTAAATTTCTTATCAAGAGGATTAATTTGAACGCATTACTTTAAGAATATATAAAAGCCAGTGTAAGTATGAAGAAAATAAGAAGTGAAATCAACCTGCAAAACGTGTATAATAATATACAATCCATTTTTTTTGTATTTCAGTATATTTGTGCTTTAACATACGAGTTTGAGAAAGTAAGGCGACGAAATGCAATTTTGCAATGGCGTTGCAGTTGTACTGCAACTGGTGTGACGTTTAAACAGTCATGTGAAGTGTGATCTGAAATCTATTCTCTGAATCTACGAATGAACGTGCCAAATTTAGATTAGAGTTATATAGCAAATTGTGACCTATTCAATGAATAATGAACATAACAAACGTTATGATTCACCTGAACATTCCCGCTCCTTACAGTCATATTTCGTGTGTTTCTCAGGTTGCTGACGTCTTATAAGTTACCTAGGGCCTATTGTCTAAATTAAGCTGATAAGGGTTGTTTTTCATCAACCGAGGAGCGTTTTCTTCGTGCCCGCCGCTCATTCAAAATACTATTGATTGCTAAAAGACAGCCCTTTTCCGCTGGACTGGTGGTAGTTGATGGGTTACTTAGCTTACTTTTGTAATGAGTGATTGGAGTGCATTGGCTCGCAGTTGCATTAAATCATTTTGAGTGTAGTCGAAAAGCAGATTTGACGGCAGTCGACGTGACATCACACTGACTCCGCTCTCGCTGTACTAGCAGCCCCATATCTTTCTACATTAGTTTTGATTATAGTGACCCTCCCTACCGACCCTTAGGGTACACGAGAAGGGCACTATAACCTGTGCGCGCACAGAAACCTTATAAGTTCAGGTTCTGACCCCCGATCAGCCAGTGTACAGGGTTGTCACAGACCTCTTTCACTTGACTTCATCCGGTTCTTCGAGAGGCTAGTGCCTCGTGTGAACCGCCCCGGGTGCATGTACAGTATCCTCCCTATTTTCCAGATAGGTACGAGAGCTGTAGGCACGCTCACATCCCGTTGCGGACTGCACAACTAGTTGTTGCCACCGCTAAGCCGTCGACTCTGAGAGTCGTATTCCAGAACTCTACTCAATGCTCAAGTCAGGATTTGAGCAGACTTGAGTATGATTTCAAGCTCTGGAAATGCGACCCTAATGGCAAGGACTTGAGTATGATTTTCAGTGCTCACTGCAATACTCACGTCCTGACTTCAGTATTGAGTAGAGTTCTGAATACGACCCTGAGACCACTACCAAATCTCCTCATTGGTGGCGGTGCTGTTAGACACGCTCATTTCCCGCGCTGTAAGAGACGCCCAAAAAGGCGTATCACTGGCGGAGGGTCGAGCTTGTAGTCTCTCCGGAAAACCCTACTAGCATTCGGTAGTTATGCATTCCATGTGCAGTCTCGTCAACTAGATCCAAACTGCTTTTCGACAGCATTCCAAATGCTATTTTGCAATTGTTATGCAGTTGTAACGCAGCTAGTGACGTAGTGTAGACTACACCTTTAACTCAATAAAATAATTGACAGCCAATACAATGGTGGGTTATGGGTGTCTGCAATAGTCTTGCCATTTTCTACCACTATCAAAATCATGTTTTAATTAATAACCTGCAATATTCAAAAGAGTAAAAATACGAGAATAGACCTCCCAAAATTTATTGTGAAACCCATTATCACATATTACACAGTGACACTTTCGGTTCCGCGAATTGAAAGTTTATTTAATTTACGAAAATGTGAATGTCAATTTCAAATCTAACAATGACTTTAAAGACGCGAATGTTCACGGTGCTAAAAATATAGCTATATAACTATGATCCTAACAACCTCCGATATGTTGGCCAGTGGACCTGCCAGAGATAAAGGGCAACCATCGCAAGTTCCGCACTCTGGTCACCAGCTACATAGGTACAGCGAGATTACTTGTGTGCGTGTTTGTACATAGGGTGTTGGTGTTGATATAAACGGCACGATATTAAATGACGAATATCATCCGTTACGCAGACTAAGAATATTAGTGATATTCTTTTTAAGTTTAAAGTTTTTTTTTCGGTGTTATTTATCAAATAATATTTAGCAGTTAATGTTAAATAATGTAATAGTGAATGTTCTTTAAGTAGAAAAGTCTTTTTTTTATTTAAATAAATACTTAGATTAAAGACAGTCATTGTCACTTACGTACAACAAAATCGGACAGCTAACAATATTTTAAACTTTTTTTTTCTCAGATGGAATATCATGTAAATCCTTTTCATTGACAACAAAAAAATGCTTTAAATTGATGATTGTGTACGAAAACAAATTTAAAATCCCGTTGAATAATAAAATAGTTACAGATATTTAGAAATCACGAATCAGAAAGAGACGGCAATAGACGATTGTGACGTCACACCACAATGGCTTCTTTCAAACTACATGATAGATACATAACTCGTTTATTTACTGAATCACAGTACATTACAAACCATCTTACGACATGGGTACGATGGTAATTATAAAGAAAAAGGCTAGTTTAGATTTGCGGGTATGGTCTGGAGTGTTATATTGTGTCGGGGTATAGAGCTGGGTGTACTGTATCAGCAAAAAGGGTGTGACTCAACTTTATACCGCAGTTTAGTCGAACTACCGAACTACGACGCTAATGATTCTGCCAGGCCCTAATGATCATTTAACTAAATAGCCATGAAGCATCATCACTGTAATGTTAGTGACTATGTTAGTCGGGCTCTCGAAAACTACATGTTTATGCGAGTTGATTCTAACCAACAAAAAATGTTGAGTCAAGCACGCTATCGTTTAGAGGTTTTATAAAAGGAAAAATCGGAGGAAAAAGAGATAGGGCAATACCTAATCGAAGTTATTTGTATCGTATCAAACAAGGGAAAAGGTTAATGTCCTTTCATATCAAGAACTCAAAATTAGGTCGCTTATTCCACCGACAAGAGTCTAGGTCCTAAATGAGATGTTATATGAGCTTTGATTTAAAGTAAAAATGTATTTTATATTATAATAATTATATTTTTAATCTTTATAATTTATCTACAAGACACACAAACTGAGCGTTGATCGTGTAATAGCTCCATTACAAAGAACTTAAATTTCAGTCCATCTATTTTTGTTAATTATGTTAGAGGCACGATTTTGTTGCCCGTGAGTGTACATTGTGAAATTTTATCAATTTCTTCAATCTTATTGCGCTTATGGTGGCTGGTCGTAACCCGAAGTCAATTAAATGTTGTACCGCGACGGTTTAACGTAAATGAACGAGTCATTGTTAGTTGGTAGACGACTGATTTTTTCTGATTTCATCATTCATTGCTTGTTTTGTACCAACAAGTCGTGCGCCTGGTGGTAAGCGACACGCCTATCCATAACAGTTGCAGTGCCACTCAAGAGCTTTTAATCGCAAAGATCTAAATCGATTTAAAGCTCTGTGTGGCACTGCGCTACTGGTATGGACAGGCGTGTACCTTACCATCATGCGCACGACTTGTTCGTCCCGTCACTAGATATTATATTTAAAAAAAGGTAGAAAAGGTGGCATTAATCCTAAAATAAAAACTAAATTCACGAAGGCGGCAAATAAAAACATAACTTTTTCACTGTGGAAAAATCTAAAGAAATCGTACGCATTAAAACCTTGTGTAAACATGTTTTAAATATTGAATATTTCTATTAAAATAAGCATTAAGCAGGGAATCTAAATTATACATTTCAATATAGGAACCTAATGTGTAATTGCGATGCCTAAACTAAGTAAATGTATACATATATTTTAGGCATCTTTTTGGGCAAATTTCTTTATATTACAGCTTAAAAAGAGAGTTTCTATATTTAACAATAAAATAATTAGTAGTTATAAATTAATGATTACCTATATAAAAATAAAATAACAGCAAGTCCTCTGTTTCATTGTAAGTTTTACTCTTAAGCCACTATTCTTTTTGCATTCTATTTTTTGGCATTTAATTTACGTTCTATAGAAATTACGGTGACGACCATCTGTTATTAAAAGCTAGAATACATTGTGTCTGACATGCGATATCTACAGTATTATAATAGTGTTATAGTTTGTTGTAATTTTGAAATATTTTTATGTGATTGTCAATAGTAAAAAAAATAAAAAACTCACACCAACACCCTAACCTTTTTCAGTAGGACTTATTCGCTGATGAATGTATTTATTTTCTGTTTTTGTTTTTAAATGTTATTAACGTTTAACAAAAACATTTTTTTTCATATATTATTTTCAATGCAACTTTTACTAGGGCATGTTTTAGTGACATTTATTTTTTCTTTTAATTTCGTTAATTGGATGCATTCTTATTATTAATTTGAATGAACAATTTTGCATGACAATTTTTCTGTTTTAAATTGGTAAAAAAATGTCATGCACGCCCCCGCTACCTAACCCTGTTAAGATGTTGTGAAGTGATGTAATAGTTCTTAAGACAATGTGGGTACGTATGTTGAAACGAACCAAGACATCGGTTAGTTTTTATGCAGGTATTCGCACAATGAGTAAATGTTATTGGTTGATATTATCATGACCAGTTTTTCTTATTACTGTTAAGGAAATGATAAAATGGGCGACCGGCGATTTTCAAAGTTATTTCTACTAAACGACTTCAGCGCAAGTAACAAATTTATGTACCGCCGATGCTCTGTCGTTATGGTATTTGTTGTAACGAAATTGTACATAGCATTATGAACTTTTCAATTGTCTAACGTACAAACTAGATTTTCCAGGAGAAGTGACTTATTTTACGGCTCGTATTTAATTTGTACGTTACACAATACACACAAAGTTCATTTTGCTATGGTTAGAAAAAAATCACCTTCGTTCCGCGCAATGTTTGTGATTGAGACTGTACAACTAATAAATGAATGAACGAATGATTTGGGTAACATAAAGATTGTTGTCAAAACTGAGAATTGTAAAAAGACTCTATTGAAGACGAGAATTTGCACCCTTGATGTAACAACGTCACATCTGGAAAATTACATTTTTTCAGGAGGGATTTCATTTATGTTTAAATATGAGAGGTGTAAAATTTCACTTTATATATTATTTGTTTCATGTATTTCGTATTATTTTTAATATTGTCTTGTGATAAAAGTACTTTTGACATTATGATCACATGCACCTTTTTTATTTATGTACCAAGGATACAAATTATTTACTGGGAATAAAAACAACAATTATAACGACCACATCGTCAGTGCAGAAATTTGTAATAGACTTTACGTCTATAATTTTAAAACTCTTAATCGCTTTGAGGTTTTACGGTCACTGCCAGAAGTTGGACAATACTCATGGAAAGTTTAACCGATCGACTTATGTGATAATATCGACCATTTAGAACCCAAAGTTAACAACCACACCCCCGATCCGGTACAAATATAATATCTGTATCCTGTTTGTTTCCAACAATTGTCCGAAATCGGATGCTCGTGCGTCTCCCTGGAGGTCTGAGTAAGTCCCTGTTCCTACCGGCATGAACGTTCGGCTCGAGTTTTTTATATCTCGATTCGGATCTGGATTTTTTGTATTTTTTTTTCTTTGCGAGTTGTTATAAATACTTATAATGTTGTAGAGTAGAACAATGGTGACTGATGTTACGTTTGATTAACATTTGAACATTCTAAATACGATATAATTAAATAAATAAAATAAAAAAAGTATATCTTCAATCATTTTTGTAACTTTTTTATTTTTTATTCAAATGCAAGTGTGCATGTGACCTCCATCTCACCTGATGGAAAACGACGATGAGGTCGACAATGGAGCCTGCACACAAAAAAATTGCTCATTCACTCTCGTCTTGAAAAGATCCAAGTTATAACGTTCAGGGAACAAGTCTGCAGGCAGGGAATTCCACTCTATAGTCGTTCGCCATATAAATGTGTTATGTATTTAGAAACGAGCGTGTATCGCATAAAAACATAAAATAAAGTGTTTCTAACAACTCCATAAGTTTTGAAATTATCATACCCTCCATTAGTATACCGCTGTATTTCGCTCAGTGGCGCTATCTACATCGTATTACAAACTTTTCCAGTGTAACTCTTGTTGATGTTTTCTTTGTAGTTAGAAATTTTCCTGCGTGTTTAAAAATAAATGTCATAATAATTGTAATTCTTTACCTCCTTGATTTAATTTTAAAAAATGCATATCTTAAGTTATTTTTAATTTAAATATATTTTTATTACGTACCCGATTTAAAACACAGGGGGCGTGTTATTTAAGAAAAATCTTACTTTTTTTTCTTTTTCACTCTGGCATGGATTTTCAGTCGTTCCATAATAAATCCAACGTGTGCAGATGTAATATATAAAAATTGTACAAGAAGTTTTTTTACTGACAATTGATTTTCAACTTTGCGCCAATCTCCTTAGTGTTGAGAATGCACAAGCCTCTGTCCGCGAGTCGAGTTGCAGAACGTAATTACAACAGTAAAATATGTTAAATGTCCAATCAATATTTAGAAGACATAACTAACGTTTGTGAGATCTAATAAAGAAGAGAGACGACAGTATCCTCACAAAATCCAATTTGGCTTCAGAAAAAGCTTTATCTATGCAATAAGAGCGAAAAAGACGTTCGTTTGCTCTAATGGCATAGACATAAAACTTTTTCATACCACTCAATCTCCGAAGAGGCCGATGGCTTTTGTATTGTCGTCCCGTTTCAGTATTGTCATTTAAATTGTTTCTACTAGTTAAAATTTTGCATTAAACAGCAACACCGTCCAAAAATTTTACAAATAATTAGTTGTAACGTTTGCTTAAATGACAACACTGAACCAGAAAGATGAAATATCAATGCCACAATTTTGCTGTTTGAGAAAAAATAATTTTACTAGTTAGCACTTCTCAACACTAATTTTGGTTTTATTTATTTTTATTGTTTAGTTTACATATTGTCAGTGGAAAAAATCTCATAGATTTAAGGTCTGGGAAAAATATCTAGCGGAAATTGCGCCGCTGAATTCTGCAATCTGCGTTATTTATTTTTACGTGATGTCACTTGCGATTTAATTAAATTTCGCGTGCGCAGTTCGGCCGGCGTAATTTCTTATATGACCCTAGGCCTCAAGCTTTTACTTGCGCCAGGCTTAATTTTTTTTTCGCAAATGCCGTTACAAAATAATACACCATTGATTTTTCTAGTAATGTTTTTCGATATAGAGCACTTTAAGTCACATGGTTTATTTTGGTAGATTCTTATTTGGGATTTGTTACTGTGGTTGCGAAATACACTTTACGACACTTGCAATAAGGTTCATGAAACAGTTAATTGGACATTGACTATCCGAAAAGTAGTTTTTTCTTCTTTGAAAAAATGTAAATTTTGCTTAAGAATCGATAATGGCGTTGGTTCATTCCGTATATCAATGAAAGTTTTGGAGTAATGACTTTGGAAAAAATATATAGTAAAATTGAGGATAAACATTGATTAGTACACGGTGTGAAAAACACGATTTCTAAAAATTTTCACGATAGAAAAAAAACACTTACCTCGAAATTTTACAAGAAAACCGCTGTATTCAACATGTACTTTCCGTATTCCAATTTTTTTTTTATACATCAACTGAACTAAATAACGTATAGTATATGATATACATTTTGCATAAGGATTTAATTTCGTTTGTAAAAAAAATAAATTCTGAAATAAAGCCAGTGTCCCTGTCGCTCGACCCAAGAAAATGAACCATATTAGTACGGGATAAATTTCAATTTGAGCGGAAGTAATATCGACTTTTAACAATAAAACAAACTTAAAAAATATAAAGAGAACACATAAGTTGTATAGAAACACATAGTATAAGGGGGTTTTAGATCTCCTTTCGGGGAATCCAGATAATGTTAATAAATCAATTTCGCTAAAAATTATAGATTGAGTTATTTTCCTCTAAATTCATCATTAACTAAATCCAATGTCGTAAAGTTCTAAATACCACAGTGACAATTCTCGCTCTACCTGCATAAATCTAAAACGTCGCAACTAAAACTTTGCAATGTTTTTTGTAGCCCTGAAACACTCGCCGTCGAAACGCAAGAGCATCGCGAAGCCATCTAGACCACAGGAAGAAATCGACACGTCAGGTATGTTTTATTAAGTTTGCTATTAGGTCTTATTTGAGGTTGAGGAGAATTGACAAAAAAAGTTTAAGTGAACCGTGTACAAGGTTATTTGTAAAATATGAACAGGACTATATTACGAACATTATAAAGTATAATTTTTGTTCCGTGACTTTTTAACGGACTTCAAAAAAAAAGAGGAGGTACTCAGTTCGACTATTTTTTTGTATCTATATGTTACGCCATTAATCATGGCATTTGTGAACCGATTTCCGAACCGAAAAGAGGGTATTTCAATCATTTACACATAAATTTGAAGAAAATATTCCACCTCTAAGGGTGGCAAACTAGGGCGTGAATCCGGTTTCGCGCACTTACCAATAACCGATTTCAATAAAACTGTTAAGGTCGATTTTTTTGTATTACAATTGTTACGAAACATGAAATTTACCAATCGAGTATTTTGTAGTACCATCTAACATTTTTTAGATCTATATCTGGTAGTAAGGTATAGTCTACCTTTTTTGAAGAAGGAATAAAATGACCATTACGCAAAAGTGTTGCCCACTTGCGAGCAGCTAGTGATTGCTGTCGATAAATATTCTATCGACTATCGACTGAATGTTGGTTACGCTTATGCAATTAATAACCGAACTTGTTTCATTTAAATTGTCATTCGTACAACTGCTGAGCACAGATTTTTTTTATAATACTAAGTGACGGGACGAGCAAGTCGTGTGCCTGGTGGAAAGCGTCACGCCTGTCCATAACAGTTGCAGTGTCACTCAGAGCTTTAAATCACAAAGATCTGAGGGGCACTGCCACTGGGCCCGACACCCTGAAACATAAGTTGACAAGTCCCATGTGCCTGTAATTTCACTCTCGAGCTCGCTCTCGAGATCTTTATGTGAGAATAACAGTATCTCGCACTTCATGTCGCTCTCGCGCTAGTCGCACCCTGTCGTGCTAGCCCTACAGGTGGAGTAGATAATCAAAACCACGTGTTCTTATTAAAATGTATGTGAATAAAAATTGATTTCGATACTAGTAGGCCAACTCTTTATTCTTATTTTAATATATTTTAAGAATAAAGATGGCAATAATGCAATTAGTAATCATTAGAACGTCGTAACATTCACAATTCAGACATTTATGCCAAATTTTTACCGTCTTTCACTATCTATCGATAAAAATGTCGACAGCAAGTACATGACTACTTAAAATTTTATGAAAGCTGGCAACCCTGCAAATGTCGTGCTACTTCGTCCTCAAAAAAGACAAACTTACTATAGTAAGTTCAAACGTGTAACGTGCACGCTCTTGCGTTTTGCACAGAGTTATCATCGTAAGCATTCTATTTAAATTTGTTTTTCTTTGAAAGTAAAATGTTATGAATCATTAAAGTCATGATGAAACAACAGTTGTTCTTTATGATGTTAGTAATAAAGTCCTGCGAGATTGTTAGTGTTTTACAAATAAACTTGTATATTAATGGATTTGTGAAAGTATAAACTAAAGCATAATTGGTTGTCCAAGTTATTCTAGATGAAAAGATCATGAGACCGGCTGTGATATCGATTTCCTAAATAACAATGTGAACTAAAAATATGTAATTTGGTAATGCTTTTTAATTACAAAGTTTAACTTTGTTAAACATATGTATTTGCATGATTAATGTTTAATACTAAGTTTGCATGAGTTCTTGCTTGATTTTTTTTTTAAATACTTAATTTATTCTTACTGTCGATTCGTTGCAACCTTAACAACCTCTTTTTTATTTAATAACAGTAGATAAAACCCTATTCCTAACATTATTAAACGCAAATGGATATTATTTTATTCAAACCTATATAATTATACATTTCAGTTTGTTTTGTCCCCACCCTATCCTTTTCTGGTGTATGTTACCCTTTAGTGTTGTGGATTCGACCCCCTTTTTCTTTTTTTTTCAACCCCTTTAACCTCTACGTAGAAACGAATAAAAATTGGAGATACCTCCAAATTTGTCGCGCGTTTTGCCCGTTTTGAAAAAAGAAAGTGTGTCGTGTTTTTTGTGCTATCGGTGATGGTGTGTGATACCCGAAACCCGAACGTATCCGAAACAAACATCCGAAAAACGCCGCATGGTTTTGTCCCAACACTACTGGGGCGAAATGAACTGAAATGTATTACTACAAAACAACAGGAAATTAATTAAAAAATCGTCTGTTTTGCACAGGACGAAAACACTTGAGTCGCCCTATAAAGGACTACAATCCAGATTTTATAAAATCTAGAATATCACCTAGGTCTTCGTTAAGATCTAGCATGAGCGATTTTACCGACACAACTATATCGACGTGGAACCAACGCCATCCACCTCAGACTACTGAATATCCTTCCGTATTATCCGATAGATTTAAAGTCATCGACCGAGATCGAACATTTCCACGACGAATTGATTTTGATACTTCAAATCTAATGCCTAGAGATCCGAGTACATCTTACGCTGATACTGTCTATAGAAGCGCAATTCATGAACACATGGAATCTATTTCTGACCAATTAACCAAAGTCCTAAGTACCGGGGCGGGCAGTTCTCATATAAATGGAAGTCTTGCTGACAGTGGTATACAAACTGATAATACCAGTACTAGCGTACCACAAATATACGTCGCTGACGCGCAAACTTATACTCTTAATCTCAAAATTTTGAAAGACGCCGCTGTCGATACAAGAAATGAGAACAATTTACAAGATATACCTTTCATAGACGATGATGACGACGAAAAGTTTTTGAAAAGACGAACAAATATTCTAGAAAAACATAAAAGCATGTCCAACATTCCGGAAAAGATTGACGAAGTCAGTTCTAAAGAGCACTCAATAGAGCGATTGTCAAGTAGCTTCAACAGAGCGAAGTCACCGTCGTTTGTTGAGAAATTTAAGAAATTTTTCACCGACATTGGTATAGTCAAAAGCGAAAGCACGCCTAATACGAACCACGACGATATAACATTAAACACCTTGTCAAAAAGTACGATTTCATCAAATTATAAAACAAGAACGTTACCACCTGTTGAGGTACGGGATTCTTCAACTCTACCAAAAGATATGAGATTTCGCAGAGTAAGATCGACGCAAACTGTTTATATAAAATCTAACTCTCCAGTTCTTTCAAGAGATCAGGAAATACAGACAAATGAACATGTGTCTGTAGTCAAAGTTAACGGAGACGAATATATTAAAGATTCCAAATCAGAGAGGCAAATTAAAGGTGCAGAATCAGAAACGGTTATACAAGCAACAGAATTCGAAAGGGTTGTTAAAGGAATTAAATCAGACAGGGTTATCAAACAAACGGAATCTGAAGGAAACGTTAAAGATATTGTGTATATAAAAAATATAGGCAGTTCTGAAATTTACAAAGGAAAAGATAGTGGAAGTACTATCATAGTTGTGCCTCCAGCTGATTGAAGAATTCCTAATAATCATTTAGAAAATGTAGAACTATATAAGTCTTCTGTAGTAAGATGTGGTAAAGGATTTATTGCATATCGTGATTTTTTGTTTAAATGACATTTAGGTCTTGCTTGAAATGACTATAAAGATTGATTTGCCACAGGCCTCCTTGGCCCAAGTAACTTAAAAAATCTGCAACGAGCATGTACAAAAATTCGTAAGATCTGGGGACTCGTTTCGTAACTCGAATGGGAGAGCAATAGCTCCTGTTTGACAAATAAGTCAGCCGGATTCTAGGAATTTTTCTTGATGTTTGTTCAATCTTTGAATTCATCCTCCGTTCTTAAACGTTTATATTATAATGGTAACTTTACCTCAGCAGTACGATAGACAAAGCTCATTGAGGACCATAAAAAAATCAGCATTGACAAAATGTTTTTTGAATGAGAAACCACGGTATATAAAACTGCAGGCTTAGCATCAGCACGGATAGACAAAAGTCGCGAGAATAAAGACACTGTTCTTTAGTTTGCTAATAGCATTAGAAAGCACTACGGTCACGCCTAGACAGAAGACAAGCCTTTTGTCTTTCGGCTCATGCTAAACTTGCTGGATAAAGATAGACTGTTATTTATTCAAGGATTTATTATAGAAGTTGTAATTTGTAATTGATCTGTGGAATGATTTCAATTACACCCAGAACTTGTCGAGCGGAATATTATGAAAATTGGAGTCTAATCTCAAGTGAATGGCAAGGACAGAAGTGAAAAACTTATTTAAATCATACAATCGAAGCTACAAAACTCCATTTCAGGGGTGTTAAACCAAAGAGAAGTAAGATGTATTTTTTCATGATATCCTGGTTGACTAATTCATATGTTTTTAAACATTGATTATCATCAATGATAGTGAAAGATGTCAAATGAAGGGTTGTAAGACTTACGAATAACTCCATGTAACAAATTTTCAAAAAGATTTTTGGTTTGACGGTATTGGTTTCTGCTTAACTGAGCATCAAATATGTAGAAAAGAATAACTATATCCATTGACCTACCAATAAATGGACGTCGGGTTGAATACAAAAACCACGAAAAAAATGTCCGAAGTTAACCTATACAAACGTGTAACGAAATATAAAAAACTAAAACATTTCGTTTAAATTGTAACGTCATTACAGTACCGCCTAATTTTGCTTGCAACAATTTAAGGGCCCAAAAACACCATATTCAGCTTCTACTGGAAATTTAACAAAATGCACTATATTTAGCTTCGATTGAAAATTACTTGAACACAAGAGTAATGGAGTAGCTTTTATACTAAGTATAATTAATTTTTATATATATTATTACATCGAATTTTGTACAAATTTACTCAAAGAAATAATAAAGAGTTGGGCAAGTACATACATACAAATGTTACTACAAATGTGAAAATAAGCGTGTACTATAAGAAATGTACCGATATTCGAACTAAACGTAAACTCCGTAAAAAAATAAAAAATATCCGTAATACCGAAAACCGATTTATAATAAAACCGTTACGCTTTCGAGTAATTTTCATGCTTTTCACAAAGACAAAATTAG